GCTATGACCTTAAACCTCTTTCACCTCCCTATATATGGTGATGCATATTTCAGTCACCTAATTCCCTAAATTTAAATAGAATTTGATTTTTTATACAGGTGGCAACCCTCCCACATATAGTTAGGAAAACAACCCTTTCAAGCCACATTTCGATTGATATAAATCTTTTAATAATACATTTAACTTATTAAATAATTTAAACTAAATCTTTAACAGGTGGCAACTATTTTCAAAAAATTTTACCCTTTTTGCAAATTTAAAAGACAAGACATTTAATGTGCCTTCTCATTTTTGAAAATCGCACGAATGGTGCAAATGTGATGGCATTAATAAAAAATGATTTGTTGCATCTGCAATAAAGTGGCACATTTTTATTTTATTTCGTAACAGTTAAAAGACCATACATGCATGAAATAAAAAAAACAACAACAACAAAAACACAACAAACAAAATAAATTTGCATTTCAAATATAGCGAGTCTAAACTACAGAATTCAATTTTTTTAACAAATAATTTTTTCCAGTAATATTTTAAAAATTTTAAATGGAAAAATTAAATAAGTTGTTTTTCGACAATTTCTTCCATGTGAAACCTAAAACTGATGTGGCTCTGCTAAAAAAACTACAACTACAGCCAGTGGCGGTATTTATTACTGTCTGATTGTTGTTCTTGTAGTTCTTGTAGTTGAATTTGCTGTTGACTAACCATCATTTTCATTAGTACGAGTATGATTGGTGCACAGTTGTTGCCACATGATTGTTATGACCAGTTGTGGTTGTCAACAAAATGCTGACAAACGAACAGATTTATATACTACTTGCAGTACACGTGTATGCACATATGCAATTCACTGTACATATTTATTAGTGTTTGGAAGTATCAAGTACTTTTGAGTATCGAGTTCTTTTGTATCGATACTTTTAAGGATCGGCTATTTTTCAGAGTACTGAGTACTTTCTTTAAATATACACACGTTGGTAACATTTCAGTACTTAGCGTTGAAATCTCACAAACAGGTAGTATTTTATTAAAATAAATATATTAATCCCAAGTACGTCAAAAGAATGGCTTACTGTACGGAGTACAGGTATTGTACCTGAAAATTATTGAAGCTGCAAATTGAGTACAATAACTTCTGAATACTGTTAAATGTAAATAAAACTCAGTACTTTTTAAGTCTATTCGACACATAATACCGAGTACTTTGAATCGATCCCGAGTACATGTATCAATGCGATTATTGGTATAGAGTATTTTTGAATACTGAGTACTTTCGACTTCTTTAAGTTGTGAGTTCCTTTTTTGAGTACTGAGTACTTTCAAGTTCTTTTGTGAGTACTGAGTTCTTTGGAGTACTCAGTATCGATACTTTTAAAAATCGGGTGCTATCGATCCTTTCGAGAACCGAGTTCTGAATACTTTTGGTTTCGATACTGCCCAACACTAATATTTATGTACACACTATACTACATATACGCTCTATGAGCGGAGATAGTATAGTAACTATATATGTGAGCAGAGGCGTACTCTCACCACTCTTGTGGGTGGTAGCGTTGAACGGCATATTGCTGGAACTCAATATAGGAGGGGTTAAAGTAGTGGCATATGCTGACGATGCAGTGATAGCAGTCACAGGCCCCTTCCTTTCTACTGTAAGGGAAATCTTAGAGGATGCACTGGGGAAACTGCACACATGGGCTAAATGTAGTGGCCTTAACGTTAACCCTAGCAAAACCGAGTTATTACTATTTACAAATAGAAATAAGATACCCCAATTTAGACTTCATTCCATAGACGGAAAGGACATCCCTCTATCGTCCAATGCAAAATATCTGGGAATCATCCTAGACACTAAGCCAAACTGGAAACTTAACCTGGAAAAAACAGAAAGAGAGAGCTTATATCGCATATTTTACTTACAAAAGAATCTTCAGTAGAAACTGCGAATTAAAACCAAGATGAACTGCAGTGTGGGGGCAGGGGTATATTCCGAGGAGCTTGGTGCCAATCTATCCCTGCGGCTGGCGAACCATGCTAGCATATTTAAGGCCGAAGCCCTGGGCATACTGGGGCCTGTAGGTTACTAAATAATAGTGCTACTAGAAAAGTAAAAGCAGTGATTTACTCAGACAGCCAGGCGGCGCTGCTAGCCATATCGTCTCCTGATACCAATTCTAAGCTAGTCAAAGAATGCAAGATGGAGCTACGCTCAGCGTCTCAGTCAATGTCTATCTCTCTTTTCTGGGTTCCCGGCCATAGGAATATAGAAGGCAACGAGAGAGCAAACCAATTTGGCCAAGGCGGGAGCTTGTTTAGATGAATCGGTAGCGGTGGTACTGGGATACCCCCTCAGACAAAAACAAGCAGAGGTACACTTGCACTTTATGAAACTGGCAAGGAAGAGAACAGCAGAGCTGCTAAGTAGGTCTAGGGTAGATGTTTTTAGTATTGTAGCGACTATCACCGGCCTGTTGGAAATAAAACTGAAAGAGATGCAAAGGTTTTTGACAACTGAAGCCGGCTAATAAAATTGCATGAAAAAAGCATGAAATGGAGCCAGAACACAAAAACTGCTCGGAAAAAGCAAAACTCCTTTGCGAGATCAGCATTTTGTTGTCGAGATAGTAGATCAAAATGAAAGAAAAACGTTTGTGTTGATGACACTGCAACGGAACTACGGATTACTCTATATACTTGTGTTTAGAAAATGTCAAAAAAGCATCAATTGTACTATACAACGTTAGGAATTATGACTGGAATTTTATGCAACTCGCATGCCTGAAAAGAAAACTAGAAAATGGTGATTTTCTCTGTCGAAAAATTAAAATTTGGTGGCTACAACGGATTTAATAATAACTGACACGTTGGACCGCTATTTATTTCCCCTTCATGATCGAGAAGAGAGTATGGCGGTCCGAACTACGATTTCGTAGCTCAAACTCAAGAATTTCTAGTGAAACTTGAGTCGGAGTTTAAGATCACTTGTTATGCATGAGGCCCATTGACACATTGTAAATAAGTATTTCCACAAGCCGCTCAACTTATAGTTAACGCCTGGGTTGATTTATTTGGAAAAGCCATTAGTGAATACAAAATACCAACTTCATCCTTTAGACTAAGGCGTTTGTTGCTTGCTAGCACCGAACTAGGACTTTTTTATTAACTTTTATATTTAGTTGGCAACTCTAGCAAAAATGTTTCTGAATAAAAGTGTACATTAACACTTTTTCTTTATAAGTATCTCAATACAAATTGCCATACAACAATATTAGCAAGATCCCGCTTGCTTTATGTCGCCTGATAAGAACTTCTGCGTTGGCCAATGCAAAAATAATTTTGAAAAGCAAAAATCGTCCCTGATCCACCTACCATAAAAAAAGGGTGCTATATCTTAACCCAGGCAATAGGCTGTCTACTAGCCACATTTCAAGCAAATCAGACCATAAATACGATTTTTTCTTTTTTCAATTCAGGTCATTAACCATCTGTGTGAATAATTTCACATTTTAAACTGCTTGCAACCCTCTTCAAGAATATTTACGAAATTAAGCCCTCTTGAACCTTTTTTTGTTTGACATCGGTTTTGTAATATTTGATTGAACTTATTTATTTGATTTAAACTTTTAACAGGTGGCAACTCTTTTAAAAGAGTAGCATATATTTCAATCCAGGTCATACCCTATCTGTGCGCAAAATTTCAAGCAAATCTGTTCAGCCACTATCGCATGATTGAACCACAATCTCACAACCCCTCAAACTCTCACACGTACAAACTTTCACAATTTGGCGTATTCTTGTTTTCATACAAATTTAAAATCATCAAATTTTCCTATTATTTCAATACAAAATTATCGACTCGTACGAAAACATGAATACACAACAATATTAGTAAGACTGGCAAGATGTTATATTTAATTTAACTTCGATTAAAAATTTTAAAAGGTGGCAACTCTTTTACAACATGATTGGAACACTGCGATATTGTGATATTTATCCTAACATGTTTTGCTTTTTAAACAGACGGCAACCCTTTTCAAAAATATTATTAATAATATTAAAAACAATCAATCAATTTTACATCTCTTTCGTTTGACACTCGGACTTCAATAACTATTCCACTTAAAAAATAAATTGAGTTCAGCTTCCTCAATAGGTAGAAAACCTTCTTTAAAAATATTTCGTAAATAAAGCCTTCCTCAGCCACGTTCGTTAGACACCCATATTGTATTGGTTGTTTTAGCTTTTTGATTATATCGAATTTATCTTATAAAATAGGTGGCAATCCTTATTTAAAATAATTCGTTTATAAAGCATATTGTAATATGCACTTAAATTATTGAATGAATTGAATTTAACTTTTCAAATAGCTGGCAGCCCTCTTCAAACATATTCAGATGGCAACCCTCGTCAAAATATGTTTTCAAACAGCATTTATAAATTTCTTTCATCTTAAATCACATTGTAGTTCGCCTTTCATTTAGCGTATTAATTTAATCCACTTACTCGCTCAATCACTATCTCTTTCACTATCTCCCTCACTCGCACTCATTCAATAACTCACTCACTCACTTAACCATATAATCACCCTCCCACATAATCACTCACCCATTCACTCTATCACTCTACTACTCACTCACATAATTACTCACTAACTTACTCACCCTTCCACTCACTTATTTAACCTTTCACTCACTAACTCAGTCACTCTATTACACACTCACTGACTTACTCACTTATTTGATCACCCGCTCACTAATTAACTCATTCATTCACGCACTCACTCTCCCCCGTACGCACCCACTCAATTATATACTTGCTCAATTACTCACTCTAACTAATAAAAAAAGAAAACTTTAAAAATTTCGGATAATTCCAAAAAAACCAGAAAGTTTCCTCGGAAATATCGACAAGTCCTGAAAAAATGCAAAATCTCCTTTTTCCTTCAAGTAACATCAAATATGTTAACAACTCTTTGTCTTTCCTATTTGTGTACTCCACAGGTTTCCTCCTATGGCAAAGGTGTGCTTATCACTGGCTGTGAAACTCCCATCGCCTGGTATTTGGCTAAAAAGCTCGATGACTTAGGCTTCACCATTTATGCTGGCTTCAGTGTACCCATCGAAGAATCGGATGAGGCGAAAATCTTGAAGGAGGAAACTTCCGCTCGTTTGAAATTGTTGCATTTGGATGTTAGCTCAGAAAAATCGGTGAGTATGTAAAACAAACTGTACATAATAATAATAACAGAGCCAAATGGGAGGAGAAAAAACTTTAGAAAACAAGCAGCGAGCACCATAGACAGACTAAAATCTAAGATTTTTCATATCCGGTAAATCCTTTTTAGCATACAAAACTTTTTAATAGCCAAAAGCTCGCACATCCTTTCATGGGAACACGAAACACGGAAAAGCTTTGAAAAGCTTTCAGTAATATAAGCCGTATATGGTTTTGTAGCAGACATATCCCCTCGATTAGCTTGTAAAAGCTTTCTTAAGGTTTTAACTAACTTTTTTTTGTACAGAAACATGCACGTCGGAGTTCTCCACGTCTAAAGCTTTGTTAGGGTTTTTTTCATACTAATTTCCCACATTACGCTTAATAAGCTCTTCTCCCGCAACAGGCAGTGCCAAATCACGACTTTGTTTTAAGGTAACTTGCAAAGGATGCATGCTCATCGCGGCCATTATTATACTGCAGAGCTAACTACTTCAAAACTCGAGGTCAGAGCTTTTTAAAGCTTTGCTAAGTTTACTATGGACCATTTTGTATCTAATTCGCAGCATCTCTGGTCGACGTTGATTTAAATAGTGGAAATTGCTGTTTAATGAATTTCTTTTCTTAAAAAATAGGGAAATCTGTCAAACAAAGGAGTTAGATGGAGCTTTTAAACAACTCAAAAAGCTAGATAAAAGGCGCATTTGAAAACTCTCCTAATTTCATTATAATGCAATTTAGATTGCAAGATAAATGCCTTCGGTTAACCCTTTTGGACTGTAAGCCTATAACAAAAAAAATGTACACGACGAATTGAGAGAATCGTCATTTTTTTTTTAAGCTGATAGAAAACGTATGAGTATCCTAATAAATTATAATCTTTTTTTAAATTAAATTTCCTCATTTTTTTTCGTATAAAATTTTGTCTCCTTAAAACTTGTTTGCTTATGTTTGGTATGTAGTTTTATTTTGTTTTGTTAAAAATATTGCTACTAAGAAATATTGTTTATCCAAAAAAACTTTTTTTTTGTAACAAATACTTTTTTTCTTAAATGTTTTTTATTGCTTTTCTTTCGAAAAATGGTTTTTTCTATAAATAAATTTTTTTTCTGAGAATTTAAATTTTTCTTGCAAAAAAATGTCTCCCAAATAATATTTTTTCTAATTAATGTCAAATTTGTCTACGTTTATTTCAAAAAATTTTTATTAAAAAAAAATTAGCAAAGATTAGGCAAATTAAAAAAATCAAGCCTTCACACAATTCTCTTACGAGCGGAATCAAGTTCCAAAAATAGAGCGTGGCGGCTTCTTTGGTCGCTTTGTTGGCCATCCGTTCCTTAAGCCCTCTATGACTGGCAGCTGCTTTAGTTAAACTCCAGACGACATTAGCATGAGGTATCAGCTCACGCCTACAGATAATGGCCATCAATTTTTTAATTACAAAACTCATATTTTCTACTCGAAGGGCAATCAAGGCTCTTTTGGACTCAATCTCAGAAAAGCGCCAGTATTTTCGAGGAAATTCGGTCATAAACCAGCTAGGCATTCAAATAAAGCGATTTCATGGCTATAGCATATAAAAATCGGCCATCAAATAAACATATTTTGCGAAAATAAAGCACCTCTAATGAAAGTCTGCTTGTGCTGCTGCTTTTTATTTGTTTACTATTTTTACAATTTCTATTCTCCTTTCAGCTCCTCGAAGCTGCTGTCTACATTTCCGAGCATTTACCCGATGGCGCTTATGGCTTGTGGGCTGTGGTACATTGTGCTCACTGGGTTGCTTTGGGTGAGCTTGAATGGATACCATTTGGTGTATTGCGCAAGTCATTGGATTTGAATTTGTTGGGTGAGTAAAAGCTAGCGAAAAGCATAAGAAAACAAAAGTTTAGTAAAGACATCTGACACAAGCCGAGACAATATATTTAAAGCTTTATCGGAAGTTTCTATGCATTACTGAGACTTTATAAAACATTTTTGAACAAATTTTCCCACAGGTGCCGCACGTTTGACCCAGATTATGTTGCCACTAATTCGCCGCTCGACGGGACGTGTTGTCTTCCTGACCTCAGGTGTGTAATGCATGGACAGAGCTAGCCGTAATATTACCCTTATTAATTAAGCATAAAGTAACTGTTACCTACAACCATGGCATTGCATTGTTTTCCTTCTACTATTATTACTACTACATGCTTACATCTATATACCATATACACTCTACTAATTACAGGCCTTAGCAAAATCCCTGCACCTGTACGCGGCATTCAGAGCGCCACTCAAGCGGCTATTGAAAGCTTTGCCGGCTGTTTGCGTCAGGAGATGCGTCAACGTGGTGTCGATGTGTCTGTGGTGGCTGCCGGTGAATTTGCGCCCGGCAACGGTTGGCTAAATGAGACAGAATTGCGCGAACAGGTGAGCAACAAGTGTTTAGTAAAATAAAGTTAAATTGTATTAAGAACGCACCGCGGCGATAGAATGCATAAGGAAAATGTGCTTTGCCACATCGCAGCCATGCAGTGATTTTACCTGTAATTTTAATGAGTCCCTGAAAGAGTCGCTCCTTTTTTTGTAATTTTCTTAGTTAATACTTTTTTCAAGACGGTGCATACTTGGGCACCATAATTGTGGCTAAAACAAACTTGGCAACTAACTGACAGCCATTAAGCTGCAGACTGACTGCATTAGTGCGCTTTCCGCCAGTTAGTATTATTTGCCTTTACCTACGAGTCTTAATGACGGTCATATCCTTGGTCTGCCCAGTTGCCCATTTTGTTTGGGTTTTATGCTGTTGGCGTGCATATGTGGCTGCCCCGATGGACCTCCATAAAGATGAACAGATTATGGCGCGCTTACTTGTGTGATTCCCACCACCTGCTGTGGGCGACTAATAACTTCTAAGGTATACAAAAATAGCACTATGGCATGGTATTAGAGGTTTACACTATAGAAAGCAAAGGTAAAATAAAAAGGTGAAGAAAATTAGTGCATAGAACAAGGTGAGACGCTCCATCAGTAAGGGTTAGAGCTGCCAAACTATCGATAGTCAAGCCCATCGATGTTTTACGATAGTCTTAAGGGTGACTATCGAACTATCGATAGTATCGACCCATTTCATATGTTTTTCTGAATCCATTTATTTTTCGTTATCTTGCTTTTATAAATTTGTTTATTTTAGCAGCTCACGGTTGCATTTTAGTATTGAGAAATAGTGTTAGAAATTCATTCGCCGTGTAAACAGGCAAAAAGCGATTTCATAAATTTTCCCTGTAATTCGCCTTTCGGAAATAAAAAAAAATTCTTTCGAAAGACACTTTACATGCAAGGTGCCACTGCTCATGCAGCTGCTTTCTGAAATTTCTCAATTTGACAGTCTTTTGAAATATACTGCATTGCCCGCTCTGACACGCTGTTAAGACGGCAATGTAACCTCTGCTATTCCCACTCGCCAAAATCGATAATGCTTAGGATTATAACAAAAATAGCGATAACAAACAAATTTAAAACGATAAAAATATTAAAAACAAAAATGTATCGATAAAATAATTTACCAATAACAAAAAATTTTTGATAAATATAAAAGCAATAAAAACGCTTACAGCCATTAAAAATAAAGTTAGTGGGGATCGATATAAATAAAACGTGTCATAATCTATAACAATAACTAACACAATGTATGCATACTAGGGTGGTCCAAAAATGCATGAGAAAAAGTAAAGTCGAAATTTTTATCCTCTCATCCCCAACGATTGTTATATACCAAAAAAAAAATATCCCGTTTTTTTATATTGAAATCAAAAAAATATTTAGAGGTCGCTCTAAGCGCTGAAAGGTTTACATGTATTTTATATGGAAAAAAAAACAATTTTACGTAGAAATGGTATAGAATTCTTAAAAATCAGTATTTTTCGATAGGAAAACTCTGCTTCTCTACAGGAGATTTTCTATAAAAAATCCGCGTTGTTAATTTAACCATATTTTTATAGTAACTATAATTTATAGGTCTGCCAAAAACCCCAAAAAATACAATGGGGGTTTCAATTAAATATCGTTAGTCTTGAAAAATGGTTCAATAAACAATTGGGTATTATTATTGCAAGCCTCCTTAAGAGATCCACATTTTTCCGAACGTACAATATTTATTTTCAAGAACTCCATACCATTTCTACGAATAGTTGTTTTTTTTTTCATATAAAATACATACATGGAAAAGTTGAGCGCTTTGAGCGACCTCTATATATTTTTTGATTTCAGACTAGGGGTATATTTTTTCGGCATAGAACAATCCTAGGGGGCGAGAGCTTTAAAATTCCGACTTTGCATTTTCTTGGACGGCCCTAATGCATACAGATCGATAACGATAATTATTATAATACCAAAAACCACAAAATTAGATATCTAGCGAAACTGTAAAAAAGTTAAAAACAATAAATACTTCAAAAAAATATAACAGTAGATCGAATATCGATTTGCTATGATGATATCGAATCATGAAATCGTCAATGAGAAGGTATTACGATAAAATTATTGACAACAAAACATCGATTCGATGAACATAAAAATTTCAATAATAAAACAAATTTCGATAACGATGAAAAGTATCGTTTAGGGTTTCGATAGTAGAAATTATTAATAAATCTAGCAACAATAACACCATTTACAGTCATCACAAAAAGCAATAAATCAAACACAATAGAAACCTATCTATAACCGTGTCGTAATCAAAAAGAAAGAAAGAATAATCAAATACTCATAACCATATTATGAACTGGATCACGATAGCAATCACAATAAATAGGCACCGATAATAATGTAAAAAACAGCATCAAAAATTTTTATATCGAAAAATATTTAATAACATTAACGTTTGCCAGCTAAAAAAAAAAAATTACGGTAACTTACTTATGCGGATACCAAAACGATAAAGAAAAATCGATAAATATAAGTTTTATCAAACAAAATAGATAACTATAATGATAAAAAAAAACAACAACGGCGATAAATATATTTTAACGATAAAAAAATCGAACAAATACCGATAAAGAAACCTAACGCAAATGAAAAAAAGTCAAAAACGACTAAGGAAAACATGCAATGACAAATAACTAAGAATCTAGACAAAAATATTTATTTCAATAAATTGTATGGTAATTAGTCGGTTTAACAAAATTTGTATGAATTTGAACTCGAACACGGGACTGACCTAATCTTATTAATTTTTGTATGATGATTTCAATTTCAATTTTTCATTTCCGAAAGTTTTCTGGCACATCTAGGTATTGAGCAAAAAAAAAATCTGTTTAAATGTCAACTTTGCAAACTTTACATATTTCAAAAAATTAATTTTCACGTAGCTTTCTTGAAAAAGTTGCGTATTAATGACAATCCTATTCGTCTGATGGATTCTAGCTCTTGTCGATGACTTGAGTAGAATTGAGTGAAGAAATTACCGAAAAATTAAAAAAGTCTATAAGATGAGATCAGTCTCGTTTTCGAAATCGAACAGGTCCTAATTTGATTGAGCGACATTAACTTAAATTTTTAGAAATTTTATTTTGCATTCAGATATCAATTAATTTTTTGCGTTTAATCTGTACGATCCAAAAGCAATTATACTTATATTCCTTCTATTTTTAGGCTAAACAAATGTGGAGTCAATTGACCTCCGAACAGAAAAAGACTTATGGTGAAGATTATTATGAAGCTGCTATGACCTCGTTGGAAAAGTACTCGCGAGAGGTAAGAACTCGGAACAACAAAGTTGTGACCTATGCATGTATTATTAGGATGTTGTACTGCATAAATTCTTATTGTTTGGATGAGAGCTGCTATGTAATGCTTTTCATATACATTTATTTTCTTTTTTTTCGCTCAGACTGCCGATATTCAACCCGCTTTACGCGTTCTGATCGATGCCGTCTCGCGCACCTTCCCCATGGCACGCTACACTCCGGTAACCGCACGCGAAAAGGTACAAATTTTCTTAGCCGAACACTTGCCTACTGCATTGTATGAAATCATCTTTGCCGAACCTAAAAAGCGGGTGCGTCCACAGGGTGCATTTTAAGCTCAAAATCATTAACGCGACAGCAACTGAAATGGCAAAATGAATAAAAGAAGCGACGACACTCATCCATACTAAAAGGCGTTAAGAGTTCACTGAAAAAAATATATATATGTGTTTTTGTGATCATTTAAGTAAAAAAAATTATGTTTAAATATATTACATACAATAAAATCGATTACCACAAAATGAAAGGCAAACATATTCAATTGGATGCACACAAACTTAAAACGTGTAGTTTTAGCCAGAGTTTAAATGAATAAGTAGAATTTTTACTAACTAAACAAGCATTTATTTTCTGTGTATTTTCTTATAAGCCTTTGGATTGCACTTTTTGTTATATACAATAGTAAAAAACTATAAATTTTGTATTTGTTTGAAAGGGCAGCGCGCATTTATAAATTATTTTATGATTGATATGATTTCGCGAGTTTTATTAAAAACGCATTCTTTTTTAATTTCTGTATGTATTTTTTGTATAGGTTTTAAGCTCTTACTCAGTAAGAAAAAGTATGATCAAAAATTTGTTTTGGATTTTTAGTGTAAAAATACTCAATAAATAAAGGTGAACACAAACAACAATCGAAAGAATTTCTGGATAGCTGAATTGGTTTTCTAAAAATTAAATATGTGCAGTTATGTTCGGTGTGCGCTTTCTTTCGTCTAAAAAAAATTTCGAAGCGAGAGCGAAGCGGATTGCCACTAGGCATTAAATGACACAAATTTTAATGACAAAGTTGGGCAATAAACAATACCTGTGCCATTGAGGTAAGAAAAAGTGTCATTAAATTCGTTTCCCTATGTCATTTTTAAATAGGGCACATTTCTCGTGATTTCAATGCCAATTCGAAACGCGAAACACCGTCAGCAAAATAAAAATGTATAAAAATCTACGAATTTTTTTAGCAGTTTCGAACTTAGCCTTGCGAAAATATATATATCTCGAATAAATGCTAGCCAAATCGAATCATAAATATGATTGTTAGTAATAACTCGACTCCAGCGCCACCATGCGATCTTTTTTTTTATCTTATCTCCCTCCCGTTACCAATCAGTCTCCCTTCTTTCTTATTGAAGACTTTCGAAAGACTAATTGAGCAGCACGTAAGAAACAGGATTCCTCGAGAGCGTTTGAGCCTCTATCAGCATGCCTACCTGAAGGATAGATCCGTGGAATCCGCGAGACTAATTGGAAATCTTAATTTCTCTAAATCAGTTCATTTTCCGAAATATTCTCATTTTAATACAATAAAACAAATTCCAACTTTAACAGCAAAAAAAACGAGTATTTTTTTAGCAAAAAAAACCCTACCTTCATCACTTCTCATATACAAATTTTGGAATACTGTTCATTTCTTCATGATGGAAGGATCGGATCTAAACGCAGTTAGTATGGAACCACACTTTAGCTACCACATTTCCGTTAAAACAAAGAATTATCGAAATCGGTTCGCGTGGTCCAAAGTTATGTACACACATAAAAAAATATTGCGACGAATTGATAACCTCTTCCTTTTTAAAGTCGGTTAAATATAGCAGATTTTTGGTATTTTTTTTTTTTATTTGTATTAAATTTCAACGAGCTAACTAAGAAAATCGGTGGATAAATAAAAAACTTGTGAATGATCAAATGAAAATTCGCAATGATTTGTTTATGTAACAGGGTTTGAAAATGCTGTAATATTTTTATTTAATTTGCTTTTGCTGTGCTTTGACTTCGGCATGTATGATATCGAAAGCAAAGCAAAAGCAATTCAGAAAAAAGCAAATGCTTTGGCTGCCGTTTTGCTATGAAATTTCGAAAGCAAATTGTGGAAGCACAAAGACAGCGCAGCAGCAGCAAATCAACAGCAATTTGATTATAAATTTGCTGCGAAGCATCGAATTGGCAGAAATAGAGGATATTATATGTATGCGTGCGCAAATCCACTAGTCGCTTACCCTGATAAGCTTTGCACTGATGGCGGAGTTAATATGTACTTAGATAATATACCACGCTGCAAAAGCGTCATGTGCACAACACAGCCAAGCAGATAACAGCACAGCAAAAGCACTATCACAGCAAATCGAAAGCAATAAAATTGTTTAAATAAACTGCCGATAAAAAAAAAAATAAACTTTTCAAAGTTACAGCAAAATCAAAGCAGTTCGAACCGAAATCGAAAATTTCAAAGCTAAGCAAAAGCAAAAATAGTAATGCCGTTGCTGCTTTGCTGACAGTTTTTCAAACCCTGTTATGTAATATGAGTAGGAACGAATGTTACGCATACGCCATGTACGACTATGTACGAGCATCGATTTTTATGAATACCGAATAGCGCATTATAGTACATAGAGTTGAAGGGATTTTGTTCAGGGAATTGTATATTACACTGGTTCTATACAGCTCTTGTTAGACCAGGGATGGGCATTTTTTGGTTTTCCAAACACAAGTAATTGGGCTTGAAAATGCTGCATGCTGCGGCGTCGACACATGTCACGTCGGCAAAGCAAATCAAATCAGTTGCTGTTGACAGTGTTCGGACGCAAAAGTTTTTGCAGTGAAACTTCTTAATGGAGTTCGGAAATGTTTGCGTTAAATCAAGGCACATTAAACAGGCCCTCATTTTATCGCCACTTTCGATGAAGCTTCACAGCAGTCCAGTGACCTAATACCTGCTTGCCTGTCAGATAAGCTAGTTATTGAAAGCAAGTTGAGAAAAGAGGAAAACTCTGCAGTAATCTGGCAGCAGTAAGGAAAGGTATTTCGAGTAACTTTATCCCGCTTCCTGCTTTTCGATTCAGTTTTGATTTATAGTTGTCTTGCCGGCACAAGATCGAAGCGTCTTCCCAATTATTTATTTACATAAGGAATAAAATAGAGAAATTGTGCTCAAGATTGAGCGAAAATGTAGTGTAGTTTAGTGACCTAAGAATATTGGGGTGATTTTATAGCATTTCCCTTTGCCTGAAGTTTCCCCAAAAAGGTCCACGAGCAAAGAGCTAAGTAAGTTTTCTAGGACTTTGATAAGCATGGAGGGCAGCGCACCCGTCATTACCGTCCTCCTTGCCTTCTTTTAAACCTTGGTGATTTTAGAATTAATTTGCGCCTTATGCAGTGATATCCATCAGACTGTGCGCCATAGAAACAGATTGGATCTACGTCACTTGTATGCATCCTCTTCACTATTTTAGATTCGAGATATCATTTCTTGCCTATAGATAGATGTGGGTAGAAATGATTTTTCTGACCGATTCCTCAACATTTCGCTACCAGGATAGTTTGCTGATCATAATCGCAGCCAGGTATTGCACTGCATTTGAGAGCCACAATGCTGAACCGTTTAGTGCTGGAAATTAAAATAACTTATTTTCCTTTGGGAAGGGAACAGCGTTGATTTTTTTTTGGATTGGAATTCATGACGCATTCTTTTCGATCCAGTCCAATATTCAGCAGTAACTTTGCTATCGCTTATTAGAGTACGTTTTTAAAAAGCTCCTCCGATATCTGGAAAAATAGTTTTGAGGTCAGAAATTTTTCAATACTGGTAATTATGTGGCGATGTGTGATTTCCATAGATCGAGCCTTGTAATAGATGTGCTACCAATTAGGCAGCTTCCTTGGGTCTATTCATTCCAGGACTTTTTGGAAAAAAGGGGAAAACCGTTAAACTTATGTCGTTATGAAAACGACTTTCGCCCTTGTCCATGCTGAAGGCACTTAAACTAAAACTTGATTTTTAGCTAACTGAGGTTCCACTTATAAATATGATATCTAGTCCCAGGGGTCTAATGGGTTTAAAAGGACCTTCAATATCTTTAACCTTAGCTCACATTGATTTAATCTGCTAGATGGAGCCCTGAAATAAGGTCCAAGGCACTTGCTTCATTGGTAGAATCAGGGAAGTGTGTATATAAGTAACTGTGTGGAAAAAGACAATTTGATAAAGGCTTCCAACTGTTCCTCACTATGGTCCTAGAACTTTGTCCATGAACTCCTCTGTGCTCTCGCTAGCTCGTTAGAAATTTCTTTATAGGCATGCGGCAAACCGTCTCATTTCGCCTTATTAAAGAGTCTCCTGCTTCTCCTTTCTCAGGCCGATGATTACCACCAGTGCTGCTGATTTTAAAAATCTTCAGTTTTTTGCTGCAAAGCCTTATGCCGCGCATGAGCTTCATACAGGTTTTTGTGCGAAGTTTTTGAAGTGAAACCTCATTATCGGCGGTTGGCTGGTTAGGAGTAAATTGGAAAATTCAACGGAAATTGCACAAGGAAATGGTGCACCGCAAATAGTTGCTTCTTTAGTGTATGCACATGGTATTAATTTAACAAAAACCTGCTAATAAAAAGTTAAAGAAAAATACCAGTACAAGAATGAGTAAAGGTAAGTACGTACATAGATAAAGAAAAGGATAAAGGCAAAGGTAAAAATAAAAACAAAAGCAAAGATGCGTAAAGATAAAGGCAAAAAATAAGACCAAGGTAAATTAAAACACTTTATTTATATATATAAGGGCAAAGCTGAAGGGCAATATGTAGATGAAGAAAGTAATAAATATAAAAGTAAAAACAAAGATAAATATAAAGAAAAAGATGAGAATGAGAATACCGATAAAAGTATAGATGAAGACAGAGGAAGAAAAATTAAAATAAAGGTAATTATAGAAAAAACTATATAAATAGATAGAAACACAGAGACTCAATTTGGGAATAATTTTGGGATTTTAGAGACTTTCGGGATTCTCGAGACTTTCCGATATAATAATCGATATTGTTATCGATTTTGCTATCGATATTTTCGGAACTCATCGATATAATAATCGATATTTTCATCGATTTTGTAATCGATATTTTTAAGATTTTTTTTATCTAAAACTTTATTGTTTTTTTTACCGATATTGTTAACGGTTTTGTTGTCGATATTTTTATCGATTTTGCTTTCGATATTGTTATCAACTTTGTTACCGATTATTTATAGATTCTTCTATCGAATATTTATTGATTCTATCGGTGATTTTGTTGTCGATTTCGTTATCGATATTTTTATCGGTTTTGTTATCGGTATGTTTATG